CCTAAATCGCCCTTTTTTTCATTTTCAATCTGGATTTTTTTTAATTAATTATCAAAGTCAAAAAATTTCACCAAGAGGGACGAAAAGAGGGGAAAAGAGTGGAAGTTGAGGAGAAATCGCTCGCTACGCCTATGCGTACTTTTAAATATTTCCCACCGTGCAGCGTCCTTAATAAATTATTTTATAAGTATTCTTATAGGTATAGCGAATTATAATAAATTAATATTTAGTTTCTACGTGACAAATTAATGAAAATATTTCACTTAGAAAATTTATTCCAATCAAATGCAAGGTTATTCAGGAAGTAACCGATGAATCCCGACCATCCCGACCGCCATTTTCGTTCGGCATTCGTCGTGTTTTTTCGGTAGTGTCGTGGTGGGTCCTTCCCCACGTGTTTCTTCAATTTTAACTGCCATCGGCCGGGAAATTCTCGTTTGAAGAAAAGAACGAATTCGTATCGCCGTGATTTGCAAGGGTGCTGAGAAAATTCCGATTAAAAAGGTAATTGTTTGTTGATTTATTGTTCGCCAGTGTTCAGTAATGCTTTTTTCCGACTTATCTGTCCTCAAGACGTGCTTTTATCGCTTGTGGGACGAATAAATTAGGGTTTTCTAGTTTTTGATAATGCTGAAAAGAGACGGGGGAGAAAATTGCAATAATGAGATTTGGCTGTGTTGTGTAAGACGCCATTTTTTTCCTTTGTTTTGTGATTGCTCAATAACAGGAAGGAAGAGTAAGGAGACCGAACTCTGTGTAGAAAGCGCTTTAAAAATCTCAGAGAAATATGCACGAAAAGTGCCAGGCTCACTGTGTTCTAGTTGATCGCCAATTAAGTCGATCATGCGCATAAGCTGTGTTGTGTCTCTGTTTCTCGTAAAAATTGTGCGAGTGAGATGTAAGATCTAATGTTTACATTTAGCCGGTCTTAGTGAGATACATATACAATACATTTCGTTTTAATAATTATGTATTTATTTTATTTAAAAAATGTCGTGTTGTGTGCCCGGATGTAAAGAAAGAACAAAAAGAGTCTAAAAACATTAGTCTCTTCTATCCTTCTACGGTATGTCAATATACTCTAGTTATAAACACAATTCTTCTTAACCATTTTCGCAAAATTTTTCCCTTTTCATAAATATATTATTAAATTATTTTGAAAATCTAAATAATATCACAATTGCAAATAAATAAATTTGCTTTTAAAATTAACACTGTTTAAACTATGTTATATTTACCTTGACATAACCACACTTTTCATCTATGTCAACACTGAACTTTAGTTCAATGCGCATGATCGACTTAATTGGCGATCAACTAGAACACAGTGAGTCTGGCACTTTTCGTGCATATTTTTCAGACATTTGTAGAAGCAGAGTTCGGTCTCCTTACTCTTCCTTCCTGCTCAATAAGCAAAAAAGCAATCAAGTACGGATTTCGGAATTATCGCGTTTCTTATCACAGCCCGCTATTTTTGTTGTTTTCGCGGTATTTTCTTCCCTCTCCACTATGTTTGCGACGCCATGACACTAGGGATGATTCCGAAAAATGGAATCGAATCGATTCCAAACAGAATCGAGTAGAACCGTCCATCCTTATACATGACACTTTTCTGTATTTGTCAACAATGTGCGGACGGTGCGGTCTTTTCAAGGTGAGTGTTTCAGTATTTTATGAAAAAATATCTATTGTTGATCACTTTTGATCGTATTTTTGTTTTCCTAATGATACGATGATTTTTACATAAAGTATACGACATTTTTATTCAGCTTTTCTGTTTTTTGACAAGGATAGAGTATTAAAGTGAACGAAATTAGTAGTATTTTTGTGAATTTGGCAACCTAACCTCAAAAGTGTTAAAAACTCAGTAAACTAAATTTATTACGATTGACGAAAGATTTTTAACAAAGTAGCATTTTTTATTTGTTACCTAATATGCGTCATTTTTTTTGTTTCAGATTTTTCCGCACCTACTCATGGACCTTTGTGATCGAAAAAAGCAATCATCAGTTTCGGAATTGACAAATATCATTTCGGAGTTTAATTGTATAACGATTGTAACAATGAGAATTTGTCAACCTAACATCAAATGTAAAGAAAACTCAGTGAACTTGATAGTTTTTAATTATTGAAAATTTATAATGAACGGCAATCTTTTTTTACAGAATGGAGATTTTTCTGTGTGCTAACTAATGTGATATTTCGTTTCTTGTTTCAGATTTTTGTGCAACTGCTCAAAGACCTGGTGAGATCGACAAAAGATAAAAAGGAACGAAAACCACAAAGACAAATTCGACAAAGGACAAAAATGCAATCAAATGCATATTTTAAAATCGCCAAGAGTCGAGGACGATTAAAAAAGTCCATACTGATCGAAAAGCCTCTTTTCCGAAACAGCGTGGAGAGATAATAGATTGTTTCTTAATAATGAATAAATAAATTATGTTGGTAAGCAATGGTAAAATAATTATAATTATTCATAAACATAATGTATATTAATACAAATCGTTTTAATTAAAATTTGAAGATTAAAAAATTTAATGAAAAAAATTATTTTTAAATAAATTTTTATTAATTTAATTTTTATTTAAATAATTCCTCAAAAACTATAATTTTATACATTTAACTTTCTTTTACCTTATTAAATAAATTCAATATTAAATTTTTATTATTAATTAATAAACTTTTTATTTTTTCAGTCGACTATTCTTCTCGCTTAGCACGTTCGGACGTAAATCGGCTTTTTTTCGAAAAACTGGGAAACTTTAACGTTTAATCAATAGTTTATTTATTTCGCGTAAATTTTAATATCATAAATAATCGAAATTTAAACAGTCGAAAAAATTAAAGGTTAAGTAACTTTGGAATAATATGATTAGGTCGATTCATCAATGGCAAGCGTATTACGTCAATTTTTTCAAATAACTTCGCAAAATTAAATTAATTAAATGAATTCCATTGTTAAATTAAATTCAATCGTTTAATTAATTTAATTTGTTTAAAGTATAATTTCGAGAATAATCAAAATTTTCAGTTTCGTGAGACTTAACGTCAAATTTAAATTATTTCATCGTTTAAATTAAAATTTCAAATTAAAATTAATTTCGTTTAAATTTAATCAAAGGATTCAATTTAATTTCGATTAAACTTATCTATTGAGTTAAATTTCTTTCGTTTGAATTAAAACATCGCGTTAAATTTCATTTCGTTTAAACTCAAATATAAGGGAATAGGGTTTTTTTTAATTCGAGTATAGAATTAAATTTGATACCTTTAAAATTTATACATCAAATTAAATTAAATTAAATACAAAAGGGAATAATATTTGTTTCTTTTGAATTCGAATATAGAATTAAATTTGATACCCTTAAAATTTACACACCGAATTAAATTAAATTAATTACAAGAGAATAATATTCATTTCTTTTGAATTCGAATGTAGAATTAAATTTAATTCCGTTAAAATTTACATATCAAATTAAATTATATTAACTTCGTATAAATTTTAAAGTCGAAATTAAAATTTCAAAATTTCGCAAAAAAAGTAAGGGTTGGCCGACTCATTATAATACGCTCAGGTGGACCCGGCTGATATACACCCAGTGATGGGAAGCGTTTTTCGCGTAATTTTTGAAAAACGCGATTTCGATTAGATTAGATAAGTTTTTTGCTTTGCTTAATTTTTAATTTTGGAAGTAATTTAAATTTCGAAAAAATTAAGGGTGGGGCGACCAGGGAATAATAATAATACGCTCAGGTGGACCCAGCTGTATAAAGTGCACCCAGCGATGGGAAGCGTATTTCGCGTATTTTTTTTAAACCGACAATTTTTTTTGCTTTAAAATATTTTTTTTCTTTGCTTAATTTTAAACTTCGGAAATTTTGAAAATTTAAGGGTTGGGTGACGTGCAAAAAATACGATTAGGTGGACCCAGCGATGGTAAGCGTATTTCGCCTATTTTTGCTAACTTTGCTAATTTTTGAACGATAAATTAACTTTTTTACTTTATTGCTTCCTCATAAAGGAAGCTTTGTATTAGCAAAATTTTGGATTGTCATTTTTTGACATATTTCGACGTATTTTGACCTCCGAAGTCCAAAAAACGGATTTTAAAAATTTGTCCCGATGTGTTTGTGTGTGTGTGTGTGTGTAGTAACATTACATTTGCCTCAATATCTCAGAACGAGAAAGAGCTAAAGGCCTCAATTTTTTTTTAAATTGTAGGTCTCCCCAGGGGACATAAAATGAGAGTATTTTCAGCCCGATTCATGAAGTTTAACTATTTTTTTTTTTGCATTTTTCATTTAGTAAAAAAACGTTTTTTGGACATAACTTAAAAAAATGGAAGGACACTTATAAATCTTTTTCTTTAGTTTTGTAGAGTTTTTTACACGCATCTTTTGAGCCCTAATTGAACATTTTTCGTCCATATTAACCGGAGATATTAAACTTTTAAAAATCAAAAATTTTGGAAAATAAGACTTTTTTAAAAATTTTGTTAAAAAATGTAGAAGTTTTGTTTTGTATTTAGTTTTGTAGAGTTTTTTCAGACGCATCTTTTGAGCCCCAATTGAACATTTTTCGTCCATATTAACCGGAGATATTAAACTTTTAAAAATCTAAAATTTTGAAAAATAAGACTTTTATAAAATTTTTTTAAATTATGTAAATGTAACTTCAAAAAATTATTACTAAGTTGAAGAGCATTAAAAAACACTTCGATTGACCTATTTTAGAACCTGATTCGGGCAGAGATTATGAAATTATTGGTATTTGAAAAATCAAAAATTGTGGAAAATATCATTTTTTCAACATTCCTGTTTATTAATTTATGTGTAATTATTAAACTATTATTACCATCTTATAGAATATATAAAAACACATTTTAAGACCAAGATTTAATGATTTTTAACCCTTTTATAAAAAGTAATTCTTATATATTTCAATTATTATTATTTCTATGAGGAAGCAAAGTGTTTATGAAATGAACACCAAAATTATAAAAATGTACAACTTGGCAGCGGTTTTATTTTTTGATGTCGGTCAAAATAAAAGTTTCCAATAATTTGGGCGACAAGAGAATAATACGTTCAGGTGGACTTTTTTTTATCGGTAAATGAAATATTATTTTTTCTACAACCATTGATGGGTAAGCCTAGTCCGCGCATTCTTTTAAAGCCTCGCGAATTAAATATTAAATTAAAAATTAAATTTGTAGTTTTTAATTTTAAAGTCGGTAGTAATCAATTTTTTAAATTTCCCAGCGATGGGAAGCGCATTTCGCATAATTTTTGAACGTTAAATTAATATTTCTATTTGCTAACTTTAAATTAATTTTTTTTTTGTTCAATTTTTCAATTTATTTTTTTTAATTTTTCAATTTTTCAATTTAAAAATTCGAGAATCTAAGGGCTGAGCGACTTAATACGCTCAGGTGGACCTAGTGATGGAAAGCGTATTTCGCGTAAATTTTTCCACACCGCGAATTTTAAAAGTAAATTAAATTAAATTTTTCGGTTAATTTTTTAGTACCTATTTTTAGTACCTTTTTTAGTACGCAAAAAATTTGTAAGGGTTGGTCGTCGTGGGAATAATACACTCAGGTGGACCCAGCTGTGTGTATACCCAGCAATGGGAAGTGTATTTCGCGTAATTTTTCAAAAACCGCGAGTTTTTAATTTAAATTAAATTATTACTTCTTTTCCGGTAATTTCGTGTGTCGTGTATTGTGAGTGCTTTTCGTGAATCATCTTCTCCAGGATGGAGATCTGAGCATCCAGATTCAACAAATGGTGAGTTTCCTAAATTTTTTTTACTCTATTTTTAAATTAATTTCCTTAGTCTTCAAACATTTTTTTTAAATTTTTACATTAATTTTTTTTAATATATTTGAATTTTTTACGAATTGTTACAAGCGATTTCGATTCCAAGCAGTTAGTCCTCCAATTTTTCGTAGTTTTATTTTTCCAATTTTTTTTTAATAATTTAAATTATTAATTTCAGGGTGGCCACATGTCAGTAAAGTCAGGGAAATTAAGAAAATTGAGATATTTTTCGACTTGTTTTCAAAAATTGCGACTTTTTCGACTTTTTTTCCAAACATTATGCAACAAAATACCACAATTTTTAGTAGAAAGTGCAACTTATCTCGATTAGTTTTTTAAATTATACAAAAATTCTTTTACAGGGTGGTCACATGTCAGTAAAGTCAGGGAAATGTCAGGGAAAAAAATATTTTGTCAGTAAAGTCAGGGAAATGTCAGAAAAAAAAATTTTTTGTCTGTAAAGTCAGGGAAATGTCATGAAAAATTTTTTTGTCAGGGCAATTAAAGAAATTAAGACTTTCATGCAATACACTTTTTGCTCTAAACAAAAAAATTGTTGTCAGGGAAATTAGTTGTTATGTCAGTAAAATGTCAAGGAAATGTCAGGGAAATTGATAAAGTCAATCTTGCGGCCACCCTGCTTTTAAGAAATTCAATTATTTTTGAAAAATTAAATTAAAATATTTTTAAAAAATTAATTGTAAGAATTTCTTTATAACTTTTCGAAAATATTATACCTTAATAATTTAAGAAAAAACTATGGAGAGTTACTATTATTATAAAAAATTGAGTTTTTGTATTTAAATAATTGAATTCTAGAAGAACTTTTGGAAAATTATTTAAATTAATTTTTTTGTCAGGGAAAGTAATTTTAATGTCAGGGAAATTGATAAACTGAAGCTTGTGACCACCCTGAATTTGTATAGTAAATAAATAAAAATAATAAATAAATACGTTTATTTAGTTCAGAATTAATTTTTTTAAAGTAGAAAAAAAGGGGAAAGTTTTCTAGTAAAATTGAAAATAAAAAACAGAGCAAAAATGTTTTTCCTTTAAACGATTGAAACAGGGAAATTTCACTGAAAAAAAATTTATTTGATTCAAATAACCGATTAATTGACAATTATCAATTAAATATTTAATTGAATCAAATAATATTATTATTGGAGTCAATTAAATGGTAAGTGCTTCAAATACTGAAATTGTTGGTTCAAATATATGTAATTGAATTGACTCCAATAAATATTATTTGATTCAAGTAAATATTTAATTGATAATAGTAGTAGTCAATTAATCGGTTATTTGAATCAATTAAATTTTTTTTCAGTGTAGGGATTATCGGGTGAATAAAACTAGTTAATTACTGATACAGTTCTCTTGTTATTATTGATATAAAATGGCAGATGTTCTCCAAAGAAGATCATTAGGATGTAACATGACATTGTACGACTGATATATTTGATATAATTAGGAATACATATTTTAACCAAGTCGTGTTCTTTTAAGATGTTTCTTTTTATTATACAACTACTCTTTCTTCAGTCAGTATTTTTTTTCCTTTTCACATTTCAAGCAGAATACCGATAGGCAAAATTGTGTTCGTAGTTGTTTTCTTTTAAACATTTTTAAAAATTTTCTTTTGAGCGACCTTCTTTTTTTTACAATAATTTTTTTTTATGTATTAATATATATTTATATATCCAAGATTCGCTTTACATCGTTTTTCACATTGGGCGAGGAATCCCGAATCTAAATTGAAGTTTTTTATTCGATTAAAAAGTTTTTTCGTCACATTTTTTCTTGTCGTTTTGTTTAGAATTGAATATGGTACTTTTTTTGTTCTTTAAATTTCCTAAGTTCAACTTATGTACTATTAAATTACATCTTAGCAATTTTTCGTTAATTAAAAACGCGATTCTTTTTTTTATAATGAAGAAGTCGTGTTATCACTTTAATGAGAAAATTTTAGGCGCACAATTGTGGGTGTGATTTTTTTTTATTTTTTTTACGTTTTGTAAAATATGTTTTTGTCGTTAATGTATTTATTGTACAGTGTACTAAATACGGGTCAACTGTCTCAGTGCCTTACATTCGTTTCTTATACATGTATGTACCACATTATTCATACATTGCTTTTTTGGATTTATTTTTACATTTTTTTTTTTGTTTTTTTCTTGGTTTTTCGAAGTAAATCTCGAGGTTTAGTCGATAATTTCATAATTATTTATGAAAATTTGTTTTTTTTTGTAAAATGTTTTTCTCGTTTTTAATTCGTTTATAAGAGATGGGATTTGTATTTTTTTCGTTTAAATTGTTTCGATATCGTTTGATTTGGTCGATTATTCATCAACTTCACTTACATTTATAGTTTTTCGTGTGAGTGTCCCCAAAAAAGATTATATTATTCTTTTTCTAACTTTTTCGACTACCAATGAAATTAATTCCGCGACAATTCGTTACTTTTCTTCGTTTTATTAAATTTAAAGATTCACGAATTATGTGATTATTTACGTTAGAGAAATTCACAACGTTTATGATTAATAAAATTAGGAGAGAACATATTTTTGTGAACAAATTTTTAATTTTTCTTTATTAAAATTATTTTCGTAAACAAATTTTCATAATTTCCCGTCATTAAAATTATTTTCATAAACAAATTATTATTTTCTGTTATTAAAATTATTATCTTTGTAAACAAATTTTAAAATTTTCCGTCATTTTTTTTTCTGTTACAAATTTTGCTTGGCAATTATATTGAAGGAAAAATTTTGTAAAGAGAAAAAGTTGATTTACAAATTGTTCTCGACAATTATTTTAAAGGAAAAATTTTGTAAAAAGAAAAAGTTGATTATTTTCGGTGTGAGAAATATTTTTTTTCAATAGTCGTTAATTATAAACTTTGTGAATTTTGCCAAAATTATTTTATTTCTAATTATACAAATATTGACGAATTTTTTTTTGACATTGGTCATTTTATAAGACCTATATGTACTCTTGTTTAAATTTACGAATAGTGATTAGAAATTTTAATTTAATTTTTGTAAAATTAATTTAATTTAGAAAATTAGAAAATATTTATCGAAAATTGTATTTTCTTTTTTTCTTGCAATAATTATAAAATTTTGAAATATAGATATTTAAATATATAAAAAGAGATATGACCAAAGTTATTAAAAAGACTGAACACAACTTTTTATTTTTTCTTATAATATATATATATACTAAAAGTGATGAATTTTTATCGCAAAAATTAAATGCTAAGATTTTGAATGAATTTTAATAAATCTAGGCACAAAGAACTTTCCCGAGAGATTTTTCTTTTTTCATACATAGAAAAACTATCCATGACCTTCGAGTGGTATTAGATATTTTTTTTTGACTTTTTTCTTTGACTTTTTTTTATTTTTTCAATACTGGTTTGGAATTACGTTAAAAAGAATAGTCGCAGAGATATAAAGTTTATAAGTTTTAGATAATATAATAATTATTGTTATAGACCTAAAAACCTTTGAGCATCTGTCGAACAACAGGTCTTTGGAGAAGAGATAGTGCGTGATTTTTTTTACCCAAAAGGTAAAATGATACTTACAATTTAGGAAACAGAATTTTAATTAATGTTCCATAAATTGGGAGTACACTGACGGAACATGATTTTTTTCTTTGTTTTTATTTTTAAACGTAAATCTAAATAGTCTTAAAAAATATTGTTTTTTTATTTAATAATGATTTTCGTTAAAAATCTTAGTTTAATTATAAATATTTTTAAAATTGATTGTTTAATTATAATGTAAGCCATTCCTAACGTTTTTTGGGGGTTGCTTTTCGAGTAGTTTCAAAAATCTTAGTTTTACATTATTATCAAGAAAAAAAGAAACTATAAAAAATTACAAATTGAGAATTGGGAAAATTTTACCAATTTATAAATAATAGTTTTTATTCACCTGAAATTAACTTAATTAAGAAAAGTTTTAAAAAAACTTTTCAAAAATTAAAAAAAGTATAGAATAAAATATTTTTATAATTTATTAGTTAAATTTAAATCATACAAAATAGGACTATAGAGAAAATTAAAATGTCGGCTCAAAAATAGAGTCTGAAGTTCAAATTTTTTTTCAAAATTTACTCGAATAGACGAAATTGTTAAAAGTGTTTAGATTAGCTTGAAACTTGTTACTAGGGGGTATTAAGGGTCGCTGATCACGAATCTGAAGTCCAATTTTAAAAATTCAAAATGGCGGATCCTATATGGCGAACAATTTTTCTAAAAACTCATTAGATTCGTTTGACACTTGTTACTCGGGGTCTTTTTGGTTCGCTCATGACGAATGTAATGGACAATTTTCAAAACTCAAAATGGCGAATCGAATATGGCCGACGAATTTTCAAATAAAAACTCATTGGTCCGTTGAAATTCGTTAATCACGTTCTTTAGCCATTAAAATGTTTAAATTCTTTCTAATGTTGCCCATTTTTCACCATGTGATAGTAAACGTGAACTGAATAGTATATTAAGCAACAAGAGGATTTTTTATTCCTAATGCACAAAAGTGGCGATTTCAGATAGCAGACGACAGGGAGTAAAAGTTATTCACTTGTTCGACTTATATGAAAATGGCGGCCGTTTTCTCCCATGGGCTAGAAAAATGCATTTGAACAGCTAATTTTCTTGCCCATGGGAGAACACGGCCGCCATTTTCATACGGTCGAAGAAATGAATGACTTTCCTCCCTGTCGTCTGCTATCAGAAAGCGCCATTTTTGTGCATGTGGGATAAAAAAGTCTTTTTTAAAATTTTTTATTTAATTTTTTTTTACTTTTTGCTTCCTCATAAAGGAAGCCTTATAGTGATGTCGATTTCCGAATTTTTTAGAACCAATTATTTTTACAAATTTTCAAGTGTAGTATATATAATTCGTCGAGAGGAACAAATGTCCGGATGTGTGTGTATGTATGTATGTATGTGTGTG